TAACCTTGGTTCCCTGAGATACAGGAAAGAGTGCTGCATTGCTAGCCGTGCTATGTAGCCATGCTAGTACTCAGTCATCGCTTCAGTCAAAGTAACCTAAGAATCCTGTTGCGAACGTCCGCTTATATAGCCAGATGGGTCCGCCCATTCTGGCGGGCTTTGTCGCCAGTGGCTTTTTTTTCTGTTTTAGCATGTCTAACCAATGGCCGTGCAGTTTCACTGCGTGATTGAAAAAAGGCTTCAGTTCAGGAGAAAAAAAGGCTTTTTCCCATAGCGTCTTAGCAGATGCAGTACTCGCTCCCATATCTCAGGGAACCGAGGTTATGTTAGTAACCGAGTACGTTTAGCTCAGTAAAGAAAAGAAAAATAACATGCAAATGAAAAAAAAAGTGGGAAAGAAAGAAAGAGTTATATATTTATAACTATGTACACACATTTTTTGTTTATAGGTTTCAAAGATTTTTTGGCTGTACCTGTCCAAATGACAGATTAATTTTTGCCAAAATATGTTACAGTTTGACACATTTGACAATGGCAACAACAAAAGATTTTGGATTTTCTAATTGCTTTGGATATAAGCTAATAAGACTATTACATTTTAAATTACATGCTACTATTTGGAGCATACACAAACGTTTGGGGTCACCAAGATTTTTTTACTTTTTTTTTTTGAAGAAATTAATATTTTTATTTAGCAAGGATGCATTAAATTGATCAAATATGACACAAAATATATCTATAATGTTACAAATGATTTATATTTCAAATAAATGCTGTTCATTTCAACTTTATATTTATCAAAGAATCCTGAAAAAAATCTGTGAGCAGATGCTTGGAAAACTCTAAATCCATACTATGGTAAGTGCACACGTTGAGCTTTGCGCACTTTCTAAAAATCCACACAAGTGGTAAGTGTGCACGTTATGCTTTGCGCATGTTCTAAAATCCACATAGCTGGTAAGTGTGCACGTTATGCTTTGCCCACTTTCTAAAATCCACATCAGTGGTAAGTGTGCACGTTATGCTTTGCCCACTTTTCTGAAATCCTGTATGGTAAGTGTTACGCGATATCAACCTCCTTCCCTTTCTCTGAGTTGATATAGACCCTGGTACCTTGGGCTCCACTCATCTAGTGTGTCTCTGTCAACACACTCTGGAAGCATCGCTCCCCTCACCATTGAGGGTTATTGTGAGCATGGTGCTTTTTTTCGAGCGTTCAATTCTCTCTGAGGAGTTGGATTCCTCGCTCCATGGGCTGTCCTCGTGGTAGTGTTGAGCAGTGCTCCCCTTTTATTAAAGGGTTACCTGGAATGAGCACGCTATTCCTCTGAATTCAGAGTTCTCCTTTCACATGAGAAGTTGAGTCCTCTGTTTTTCCAGAGCACCTGGAACCAGCAGCATCAGGCGAATTAGGCCCTTCCTCTGCCTCCCTGATGCGCTGAGTGTTTGGCTAGCTTGCAGTACGCTTACCCTTCTGATTCTACAATCGCGCTGTAGGTCGAGCCCCCTCTCGTTGAGAGCTGGGTTTGTGCTCCCTCAGCTAAGTAAATTGCTAGCTGTTCCAGCATTGGAACATGCTGTAGGTAGAGCTCCCTTCTCGACTGAGTGTGTAGCTCCCTCAGCTAAGTAAATTGCTACCTGTTCCAGCTTTGGAACATGCTGCAGGTCGAGCTTCCTCTGCGTATGTAACCATGGTTCCCTGAGTAGGGAACGAGACACTGCGTCCTCTAGGTTTCTTGCCATGCTTCGGACGCAAGCTTCAGACAAAGAAGTGGATGATGTGTTCTCCCGGCGCCTATTTATACTATATGTTGGTGTTTTTTCAATGTATGCTTCAGACACGGGTCACGACGAGGCGTTCCCCATAGCGACCCCTAGAGGACACAGTGTCTCGTTCCCTAATCAGGGAACCATGGTTACATATGTAACCTGAGACGTTTTTTAGACTACCATTGAGAAATTTTAACCAAACTATGTTACAGACTTTTCATTAAGACCCTAAAGAATCATATCAACTTGTGGAAAATGGGCATCCTATGACCCCTTTAAATAATTAAAAAAATTATATTTATCAGTAAATTAGCATTTTAGTATGATTTCTGAAGGACCATGTGACACAGAAGACTGGAGTAATGATGCTGAAATTTCAGCTTTAGCTTCACAAAAATAAATTACATTACACATTTCACAATATATTAACATAGAAAATTGTTATTTTCAATTGTAGTAATATTTTACAATGTTACTATACTATACTGTATTTTTGATCAAATAAATGCAGCCTTGCTGAACATAAGAGACTTTTAAAACTCATTTAAACTACAAACTTTTGAAAGGTAATGTATGTTTAGTTGCATTATTATTTGCATTTATCATTGTTTTTTTGGGTCATGGGCCATGAGTTACTGTATAAAGTATAGGTGAGGAGCTGGCACATGAATCTTCAGCTTCTGCTGCTGTGTTTCTCAGCTGTCCATGTTTGTTTCTTGTGCGCCAAGACTCACTTGAGCTGCATCTTAGCACACAGCCAAGATCAAAACCGCTGTTTGCTGGCTCCAGTCATATGATGTAAATAGAAAGCAGCACTGAACATGTGGCTCTGTCATTGCATGTTTGTCCTGAAGACAAGCAGGAGAGTGTTTAACCACATGAAGAGTGTGTGTGAGAAAATGTATGTTAGCCATGGGCCACGTTGAGTAATGATGCTTTTGTTAGCTCGCTAAGACAGGCCATTTCCTTTTCTCACTATGTATAACCTGAGAGGAAGTGTATTCAGTCAGCAGCACCAGTATGGTAATTATGTGCACAGCTGCTAGCAGCTCATCTGCATCTCCTTGATCTGTATCAACACGTGAAGTTAGCATTCATTAAAAACAACAATGACAGTTTCCTGTTGGGATACTATTTACAGAAACGCTAAATCTTTACAATAAACTTGCTGAAATGAGATATATCTATGATAATATTTAATCATTTATTTTTAATTGCAATGCTCTTAGCTGGAGGCTTAACTAAAACTAAAACCATAAAAAAAACAGCTTCTGTTACTTGAAATAAAATAAACATTAACTGAAACAAAATAAAATGTAAAAAACTTAAACTTTGAAATTTTATTTCATTATTTTAAGTACTAATACAGTTAAAACTAAATAAACTAAAACTATTGAAAATAAAAAATACCAAATACTACATAGAAAAAAATAAAATTGATAAAAACAGCAAAATTACTAAAACTTCAAAATTAAAGTAAAAATAGATAGATAAAAATAAAATCAAAATATTAATATTTAATATAAAAAACTATAATAATATATCAATGCAACTAAAACAACATTTATTGTCATATTTATTGTACTCCAGCACTATAGGGTGCCTTGCATATGAATGTTTAAAGGGGTGGTTGACTGCTTTTTTTCTTTTTAAGAAGTGTTTGCCAGCAAGTATTTCTGGCTACCACAGCAACCGGGTGTGCATCCATGTTTAACGCTTCTCGTAGCTATGTGAAAAATATCTGTCTGTTTATACACATAAAGTGTATAAGTGGAACACACATGATTTGAATGAGAGAGAGAGAGATTCAGAGCAGAGCGTGTGCAGAGCAGGGGATGCGAGGAACAGGATTAAGAACCGCTGCTTTAGAACATTGATTTTGAAACTTGTGAATCAATTAGAATCGTTAGAAGATCAGTGTTTCCCCTAGGTTTACGGCTTTGGGGGGGGGGGATTTTTTTTTCCTGGACTCCTTTTTAATGGTTAAATTACATTGTATTAATCAAAAAGCATGTCTAATTAATTAAAATCATGAAACTTAAACAATTTAACATCAATTTATTACAAGTTTAACAAATATTACGTTTGGGGCCTTATGAAATGTTTTATTTGTCCAACCTTATGTTTTATTGTACTTAATGAAAGAACAAGGTATAGACATGTTCTATAAGAAAGGTAACTTTAAATGACTTCTGTTGTGATCTGGCGCTATAGAGAAAATATAATTAAATAAAATTAACTTGACTTTCAAGGGGGGCGGGGGGTGCCGTTGGGGGGGCGGGCCAACCCCCTACAATAATGGCAGGGGAAACACTGGAAGACAGAATCGTGTTTCATAAATGAATAGATTTTTTCACGCACCCGGGGCGGGCCGCCCCCCTAAAATAATGGCAGGGGAAACACTGGAAGACAGAATCGTGTTTCATAAATGAATAGATTTTTTCACACACCCCTAGTTTTGACGGCATGGCAACAACTCTTGTTGGGCGGGTTTATGTAAATTTCAGGGTTTATGATGTCACCAACCCGGGAAGAAGCTCATTGTAGTCCCTACCAGCTGCAACTGTAGGCATTAAACTGCCATCATTTTAAAAGACAATATCAATGCATTGAACTTTCAGCGTCGCAAGTTTGCAGATATTGTTTATGCTCAAACAGCAACATTACACACTAACTAAAGTTAAAAAAGTGAAATCACAATCAACCACCCCTTTAAACGTTATGACTAATTAACACCTGGTTACCCAGAGAAATCAGACGCTAACTGCTCTGCCACCTGAATGTCAACAACAGCCGGCCTGCCATCAGCTGTGCTGAAAATCCTTTGGGTTTGGCTTGGTTGCTATGCTAAAGCTTCAGATCAGTACAGCTTCAGGGTAACAGTTATAAAGATTAACAGCTTAGCAGTGACAGCAGATGTCTAATAATAATAGTGTTCCCTTTGAGTGTGGAAGAAAATAGTAACATATCGGAGCTGTGCTGCACTAAAAGCTTTAGAAGTTCTTGCACAAGCAACGCACTGCAAAAAAAAAAAATTCCTCCCCAATATTATTGTTTTACAGTACAATATACAGTAAATATATCTTGATTTAAGAATATTCAGATATTTATACTGGAAAACTAGACAAAAATACCAAAATACCAAAATCCTCAGTGGCATGTCATCAGATGCTAATTCACTAAATCAGCAAAGTGAAGTGTTTTTCTCCCATAATATTTGACTCTCCTACCACAAGGTTTCCAATGACCATGACCATCATGAAGACTATCAGGCACATGCTCGCTCCCGCCACCTCCATGCAGTCCCACATGGTCTCGATCCACTCTCCACACAAGATCCGAAAGATGATGAGGAAAGAGTGGAAGAAGTCGTTCATGTGCCAGCGGGGCAGCTCGCAGTCCTCAGAAATCTTACAAACGCAGTCCTTGTAGCTCTTGCCAAAAAGCTGCATGCCCACCACGGCAAAGATGAAGACGATGATGGCCAGGACAAGCGTTAGGTTCCCCAGGGCACCTACTGAGTTGCCAATGATCTTGATCAGCATGCTAAGGGTGGGCCAAGATTTAGCCAGTTTGAAGACACGTAGCTACTTCCAGCACATCCGTCAGAGAGGGGCACAAACACACATACCGTGAGAGACACAATAGCATACAAAGTTAAACCACATACCATTTTTATACTAGGGTGAGGTATTTCTTAAATTCATACATTTTCCAGAAAGCATAAATCACACAAACCATGAAATAAAAAAGGTATTGAGGGGTTGAGATGCAGACTTACCAAACGGAAGGACCTGAGAACGGACAATCCTTGAACATTGGCCAGTCCCAATTCTACCAGGCTGAGTGTGACAATGATACTGTCAAAAATGTTCCAGCCCACCTGGAAGTAGTAGTAGGGGTCCATAGCAATGAGCTTGAACACCATTTCAGCTGTGAAGATTCCTGTAAATACCTAGAAGAATAAGATTTAATGTGATGTGAGATACTACTAATAACCTGAATTAATGGCAGCCAATTTAAACCGTTTAATCAGCTTTGCTGTTATTTACAATTACAGTTTATTTTTCCTGATGCCAATGCACTTAAATGACTAATAAAATAAGAAAGCTTTTGTGTTCTGCTGTTCAGGGATATATGCTATCTAAGGCAAGCCCAGAAAGGGGAAAAAGCAATAAGGCCACTTGTTACAGTTAATGCATTAACGAACAAGAAATAACAATGAGCAGCAACAGAGTTTTCATTTGATACAGTATTTAGAAATCTTTGTTAACATTAGTTCATTAATATGCAACAGTTTATTGTTAGTTCATGTTAGCGCAGGTCCATGAAAAAATATTTGATTTTAATAATGTATTAGTGAATGTTGAAATTAACATTAACTGTTAATACTGTGTATATATATATACAGTGCATATACAGTATATATATATATATATATATATATAAAATAGCAAGTTATGAACTAGCTACAACAGGGCCATGCTGGTTAACCAGCTCTTAAAAAAAAGAAAACAATGAGATCGGCAGTGTATATATATGCATAGAGTTTAAACAAGGTAAATTTGACAATAATACATAAGTATTGAGACTGATACTAACCAAGTTTCCCACTGAGAGAACATGTTCGAAATCTGGACTCATTGGGTAGTGCTCCATGGCCATGAAAAGTGTGTTGAGCACAATGCAGATGGTGATACCTAAATCCACAAATGGGTCCATCACTACAAAATGAACCCACTTCTTAAATATGATCCAGGGAGTGCAGCAGTCCCATTTAAAGAAAATATCAGCGAACTTGTACCAGCCAGGGGGACAAGGCCTCTGAGCATCTTCCAACTCTAGGGAGACAAAGAGAGATTGAAAACACTATTTGAACAGTTTCCATTTAGGGTAAGCAGTGAATGAACACCAGCAGAGTGACAGCAATAAGTTCTGCCAGTCTAAAGTCAACTCATGGCTCTGAAATAGTCCAAAGATTAACACCACTCAGAGGAAGTTAACAGGTTTTTCTCCACACACAATGAGTCTGACCTTTGCTTAGGATAAATCTCTATCTTCAGATGCTCTCAGGCTGTTCTGTCAGACCATGGTACAATAATCTATAAATAAATAAACTTCAGGGACATAAAAATCGCCAGTCTAAGCCCAGTGCATTTACATTCCTGCTATTGGGACTTCACAAGAAATAGTTGAGGGTTTTCAGCATGTCTTTGATCATGTCATGGTTATAAATGTACTGCATTTGAACTTTTATGTACCAAACTATTTTGATGTCTAAAATCTTGACGTCCTGACATTCTGAAACATCTGGAGAAGCATAATAAATGGAAAAACTTGACATGCTCAGTAACAAAGCTACTTAATAAGGTATTTAAATGAATATCCTTTTAATTTGCAGTTAATCGACCCTCAAGGAGTTTCTTCAAGCTAGTACCCTCCATAGTTGCAGTGAGCACACTGATAGCACTAGCTGTTCTCTTGGAGAGTTTGGGCTGGTCCAGGTACTGCATGCTGTGTTTGGAGCTCATGGATTTGTGGTCGTCTTCAGCTGATAACTGGAGGATAAATGAAACAGTACAGATGTCATCACAATGGCAAAACATACTAGTACTAGTAATACTATCTGGAGTGAAGCAATTGTGATTTTGAAGTTTGCAATCTCTAAATGACTAGAAAAGAGACTTCTATTTAACATTCAGTTATTACAATAAGTTCATACTGAATCTAGACATACACTAGTAGGTATGCATCAAACTCATACTCTGTGGTATGCATCAAAAGGTCATTATAATCATGAGATCATCAACATTCTGTCAAGTGTGTTGAAACTTTTGACAGGCTATGTATAAAAAACACTAATCAGAGGTGTAAAAAGTACTGAAAAATTGTACTTCCTTTAAAGTACAGATACTATGTCAAAAAACTCTACTCAACTGAAACTCCAGGTACCTACCCAAAAAATTTGAGTGAAAGTAAAAATATACACATTTAAATGTACTTAAGCGTTTAAAATATTTGAAAAATTATGAACTTTGTAAAAACAAACTGTCAGAATATACTTTCTCATTGTTCTGAATATACAGTATAAAACTATAAAACTCTGTTTTTTCTGAAAACAAATTCTGAAAACAGTTACCTGAACATTTTCAGGAGATGATTTTACAGTGATTTAACAATATAGTGATTTTTAGATTAATAATTAAGAGTAATCATGAACCGTGTTCACACTTGACTCAAGTTCATCCATAAAAATAAAATTTTTATTTTTAAATAACTGAATCATATGTATTTTGTACATTTAAGTCTAAATGAAACTGTTACAGAGTAAAAAGTATTATTTTTATCTTGTAAATGTAACTGAATAAAAGTACAAATATTTGGTTTTAACTAGGGCTGCCCCCTAATAGACTTCAATAGAAGAGGCCTGGTCGACCAAAATTGTATTATTCGTTTAGTCGCAGAAAAACAAAATCCACATTGGCGAAGTCATGCAGATCGTTAATGGCTGGTCTTTGTGGTAATATAGTACATCGGGCAGGACATCCAAACGCTCGCCTATCATTCGTCAACCTCAAATATGACTTATCATCTGAAATATGTTAGTAGCAGCAACTTTACATGACCGCTCAATCTAATGTTAACCTAGAAAAATGTGCGCTATTCAAGTGTGTGGAAGCGGAACAGCGCTCACTGCAGGACAGATGGAGGCGCCGGTGTGCTCACTTGCTCTTAAAATACTCCCTCATTTTTGCTCATACAGATAAAAGTAACACATCTTTCAAATCTGTAAAGACTCTTCGTTTATTTGTGTGCACTCACAATAACAACAAAACATGGCGTTTTTGTAAAATAATAAAAGCAACAGGATGCGCTTTCTGCAGTCTCGGTCTCTGTGAACTTGAACACGAAACTCAGAAACTCCGTGTATAGCCTACGTGCCTTACAGATATGAAAACATAGCCTATCTATAGAGAGCGAAATGTCTATTTTCAAATAAACCAGTTCAAATGGAAAAAAAATATTCTCAGATTATGTAATCCGTTCGAAACCTGCATACAGGCGCGTCCACTGCAGAGATGACGAGTCAGTGTCGCCGACTTCATCTCTTAAAGCAAAAACAAAGAAAGCACTAGTTTATCAATGAATTATTAAAATGTTAATGCAGCCTCCTTACTGTTTTTATCTGACACATTCATAATCATTACTTCTGCCGGTGTTTGTGTGCACTCACAATAACAACAAAACATGGCGTTTTTGTAAAATAATAAAAGCAACAGGATGCGCTTTCTGCAGTCTCGGTCTCTGTGAACTTGAACACGAAACTCAGAAACTCCGTGTATAGCCTACGTGCCTTACAGATATGAAAACATAGCCTATCTATAGAGAGCGAAATGTCTATTTTCAAATAAACCAGTTCAAATGGAAAAAAAATATTCTCAGATTATGTAATCCGTTCGAAACCTGCATACAGGCGCGTCCACTGCAGAGATGACGAGTCAGTGTCGCCGACTTCATCTCTTAAAGCAAAAACAAAGAAAGCACTAGTTTATCAATTAATTATTAAAATGTTAATGCAGCCTCCTTACTGTTTTTATCTGACACATTCATAATCATTACTTCTGCCGGTGCGGTGTGGCAAGCTTTATGCGTGCGCTTGAGTGCTTATTAGGCAATGTAGGCAATTAAAGGCACATTATTATGATTTAAATGGTTTATTAATAAACGTGCGATTATTTGACTAATACTTCAAATGAACAACTACTAGTTGACAGAAAAATCTTTAGTTGGGGCAACCCTAGTTTTAACAGAACCGAAGTAAAGTACAGACTCCCAACAATATAGTAGAGAAGTACTCTTACTCAAACTCTTTAAACCTGACTCTAAAAATAATGTTAAAATACTGATGTCAAAATTACATTACCTCTTTGTTAGAAGAGGCTCTGTTGACAATGAGGCGAGGCACTAATCGGCCGTTACAGTCCTTTATAACATCATCACCGCCAAGACTGTGCAGTGAACCTGTCATGTTTGACCCTCGACTTTGTGTCGCCTGGCTGGCTAAAGATGCTTTACTGCCTGCCTGTAATTTAAATAAACCACTATATATCAACATATAAGTGTAACGTATCAATGTAAATCAATTAATAGTAAGTATTTTGGGGTTTTGATATGCATTACATTGTCAAAATGATTGCATTGTGAATCTGAGGTAGCACTAGTCTTTAAATAATTTAACCGTATTTTAAAGTGAAATATATGGTAGTCACCTGACCTCTTGCTCTTGGTTCCTGAGTTGCTCAAGTAATCTTTGAAACTCCTCTTCTTTCTCACGAGCTTCAGCCAAGTTGGCTTCGTTCTGCTCATCGTATGCCATAGCAACCACAGCCAAAATCAGGTTGATGAGGTAGAAAGAGCCCAGGAATATGATCACCACAAAGAAGATCATGTAGGTCTTCCCAGCGGCACGAAGGGTCTAAACAAGATGGAAATGGAATTTAATTTGCGTGTACTATTCCAACAAATAAACAAACATAAAAATGACAAGTTAACAGACCAACTGGAAGAGATTCTCCCAATAGTCCTGAGTCATGAGTCTGAAGAGGGCGAGAAATGCCCAGCCAAAGTTGTCATAGCTGGTGTAGCCATAGTTCGGGTTTTGTCCAGCCTTCATACATGTGTAACTTTCTGGGCACCTCCTTTTAAAACAACAGACAAAAAATGTAATTAATCTTTATCTTTTCATACATAAATCTTTGTTGCTTTTATGGTGTATTACAATTACATAGCTATTGATATGTGTTATCAATATATTAAATTACAAGCATTTTTTTTATTACTGAACGTAAACCAAACTTACCCAGCATCAGAGCTGTTACCACATATCAAAGCATCTAAACTTCCTTCCAGAAAGTATTGGTTTTCTGCAGAGTATAACAAGTATAATAAGGAAGTTTATAGCAGGCAATATATTAATCATTCTATGATTTTTTATTCCAAAGTGACTTGCCAACATTTTTTTTAAATCACATGCATTAATACCTTTGTGTCTAATATTTAAAATTCAAACCTCAAATGAAAAAAGTAACTGTAAAAAATGTTCTACATTTTTTCAGCTTTACAAAATACTGTAATTATTATCTTGCAATTACATGTAGTACTTCGTGTTTTAACTATGTGATGACATAATTGAGTAAAAAATATTTAATGGAAATATTTAATAATCTTGACCTGACTTCACCTTCATTGTCTATGTATGCTTTGAAATCGAAAGTATCTGTGACGTTGAGGGTGGTGTCATTGACCATGGTGTAGTTGTAGTCATCAAAGATGGTGCTGTTGGGAATGGGCCAACGGATGCACTTGTGGCGTAGATTTCCCATGAACAGCTGCAGGCCAATGAGGGCAAATACAGCCAGTGCAAAAAGAGTCAAAATCATAACATTTACCATCTTCTTGACAGACTGAATCAAAGCCCCGACGATGGTTTTCAAACCTGAGCAGAAAGTACAAGGTGAAACCTTTTTGAAATTATTTTTTTTTAAATATGGAGAGTGGAAAATACGCAATAGAGAAACAAATCCTTTTTTGTATACAGTAAAAAAAATAAAAATACAATGTCATTATTAAATTATAGAAATAAACATTTGTATACAGACATACAAGAAAACAAAAACATCATGGAAAACATTTGCTTTCGTGTGGTTTTGTGGTTTTCCTTTTTGTGACTTTAAAGAACTGTTGCATTACATACAATTTTTAACACAATTATTACATACCAGGAATAACTGTGATTGTTTTGAGAGCTCGAAGCACACGAAATGTCCTCAGTGCTGACACATTACCAAGGTCTACAAACTCTGTGATGTACCTGGAAACAATCAAACCACAAATCAATTTGTGAAATAGGCAGAACAGATCAGCTAATGTAAAATATGCTTGGAATACAGAAAACAATTAGTCCCATTTAATTGTAATTATATAGAAAATAAGGATCAGCAAAGTCTTCAGCTTCTGAGATTTTGTGTTTGTATTTTTTTAAGTCCTCTAGTAATTTTTTTGGTTAGCTGTTCCTGGCAGTGGAAAAAGATTGGTTTTAATGTTCCCTAACCCTAACCCTAACCCTAATATATATATGTTATATATAGATCCGTCGACCACTGGCCAAATGGCAGCATTAGCTGACAGTCATTGAGAAGGTACCTGAATGATACTAAGCATGCAGGGTGTCATAATCTCCATTAGAGGGCACTTCACTCTTGCTATTGTTCTCTGGACTCAATTTCCCATGTCTTCCTTGCCCCTCGTGTGATCTTGTCATGTGCTACCCTTGTCTGTGTGTTATGTTCTGATTGGTTCCTTGGTTGCATGTGTCTTGTTTTCATTGGTTGGTTTTGTCATGTGTTGTCCTTGTCTAGTATAAGAGTTGCTCACACATGCTCCAATTTTGCTGATTATTGTTAGCTTGTAGCATGTTCCTAGTTTCTGTGTTTTCCTAGTTCCTAGTTTTCTGGCCTTGCCTTTGTGTTCCTTGATCCTTGGACTGTTTATCTATTTTATGATCTTTGCTTTCTGCCCTTCCTTGTCTGTTTTTGGATTACCCTTTTGGATTACCTTGTTTGCTATTGTACTGCTGGTGTTTGACCCTGCCTGGTTTGACCACATTTTGGAATAAAGCCTGCATTGTCACGACTCTTCACGTAACACAGGGTATCACTTGTGTGAACATTGCAAAAATGAGATCAAAGAACCACTAAACCTTAAAGGAATAGTTCACCTAAAAATGTTCTCAAAATGTAGTCACCATTAGGTGACCTAACATGTAGAAGAGTTTGTTTCTTCACAGAAACAGATTTGCTCATCAGTGGATTACTCTGCAGTGAATGGGTGCTATCAGAACTAGAGTCCAAACAGCTGATAAAAACATTACAATACTCCACAAGTAAGCCACATGATTCCAGTCCATCAATTAACGTCTTGCAAAGCAAAAAGCTGCATGTTTGTAAAAAACAAATCCATCATTAAGGTGTTTTAACTTTAAAGTGGTCATCGGATGCAACATGCACTTTTACAAGTTGTTTGAACTGAAATGTTTGTTGGCAGTGTGTGTACACAACCACCCTATGATGATAAAGATCCACCTAGTGTTTTTTTTTTATGTTGTTAAATCATTTTCCCCTTTCTCATATTAAGCCATTCTCAGATGCCTGTCTGTGTGATGTCACACAGACCCAGCCCCCTCCCACGATTGTTGACTGACACTGTCGTTTTACCATAGACCCGCTCTGAGTGAGCTGTCATCAGTCCGCCATTGTTTCGACGCCAGAGAAGGAGTAGACAAGAAGGGCTTCTAAGCGATTGAGGTGTTCTGTTGTTGGATGTAATAATGAACATAGCAGTCATCATTTACTCCCGACATCTGAGCCACTGACGACGCTGTGGATTACCTTTGTTTTTGAAGGGAATGCGCCCCCGATCTGCCTAAATGCGTTTATGTTCGCGCAAATCATTCGTGATCCAGCATCACCTACAGAAGAATTGAGTATATAGAAGTGAGTACGAATCTCTGCAAATCGCCTTTCCTAATAACGTGCTAGTTAGCAAGTTCCACAGCTAAAGTTTATAATACCAGTCCATAATCCATAATAATACTTCCAGTGAAAAAGTCCATCCCCTTTTGTCCTCTTACATCAAAATCCACCCACATATTTGTTTTGAACAGGTTTTGACTGTTTTCACTAGTCACTGGAGCTTGATCTGTGAATATTTCTCTCCTGATTCACTAAATAAACAAATATTATGGATAGAGGACTTGTTTAAAGTTAAAAACACCTTAAAGACCCATTCATTTTTTACATACATCCAGCTTTTCATTTCGCAAGATTGAGTGACAAGATGAACTGATGATTAATTGATGGACTGGATTCATGTGGATTACTTGTGGATTATTGTGATGTTTTTATCAACTGTTTGGACTCTCATTCTGATGGTACCCATTCACTGCAGAAGATTCATTGGTTAGCAAGTGATGTAAGGCTAAATTTCTCCAAAACTGTTCTGATGAAGAAACAAGCTCATCTACATCACTTGAAGATTTTGTGATATTTTTAGGTGAACTATAAATAACATACATGCATGTATATATATATTTATATACACTGTATGAATTGAAATACTCACGCCATGCTGATCACCATGAAATCAAGCCAGTTCCATGGATCACGGAGGAATGTGAAAGGTCCGATGCAGAAGCCCCGAGACAAAACTTTGATTGTTGCTTCAACGGTATATATACCAGTAAAAACATACCTAAAATAACAATATATATAAATCAATATTTCTCATGAATAAATTATCATAAATAGGTGCTGCAGAGCCACAATTATATTGTGCTAGTATTAATATTGAACATACAGTATAAATCAGTTGTGAATTACAAGTATACATTTTTTCTGTTACATATATGGGATATATTTAAAATACAAATAAAAAATAAACCAACACAGAAATGTGTAATTATTTCCTATAGATATTTTACTTTTGGCAGCAGCTATTTGCACTACATGTAAATACATTATAAAACAGTATGCAATAATAACGTATTGAGTGCAAATTATAATTTTAATTCAAAGTATTAAATGGATATGCCCTTCCCTTCACCTACCCTAAGCATACCCGATATTTTATTTTGACTCTTCGATTATTTCCTTCATTTTTTATTGAAAATAAATGCCTTTCCGATGTGATATGAGATTTAAAAAGAAAGGAAAAAAAGTTTGGCAAAAGGTGGATTTGAATTCAAGTCGATCGTGTCAAAAAGACAACTGTATGTGCTTTATCAGCTACACCACTCGAGCTGTTGTTTGACTGTCGTCATTTGTAGTGTTGACTATCCCAACCACAGGTTGGTAACTTCTGCCAGCAAGGTGGGCTGTTTGCACTTAGTGTAAATAGACACTCCATTTACTTTTTCATTACTCGCTAACCTTTCATCCCTCCAAAATTATTCGAGACTTCTACTAGTACTCAACAGATCACTTCTGCTGAAAATGTGTGTGTTCACACAAGGCAGCTCTTACTCGACAGTTTTACTCCAGGCTGGAGGGTTACTCATTGTCATGAACACGCAGTTGGACAGGATAGTGATCATGATGACCATACTAAAAAATTTGAAGAACAGTCAAGGTAAATATGGCAAATAAGTAATGACACACTACTGCATCAATCATGATAAACAAAAATTAAATTGAAATGATGAGAATGAAAAGGATATGAATGTATAAGAATTTTGATGGCTCCTCTTCTGACAAGGCTAAAAGGACTGATACAAAACAGCGCTGGTTCAGCAGTAAACCTGTAGATTGTGTTTCCCTTACCTATGACAATAAAAGTCTGCAAATGAGAAGGAGGTTAACACAAAGGTTTAAGAACACTTATGGACACCAGATGAACAGAGGTTTAGTTTTAAATACAGAGCACTGCACTTAATAGTTATGGGTGTGAGAATGACCTTCTGTGTTTTATAGAAGGGGTCTATGTCCTCCAGAGGAGTGTTGAGGAGATCCACTGGTGGGTCACCATAGATCATTGGCAGGCACTTTCCTGCCTCTAAATCACTGCTCGGGGCCTGTGGTTCCTCCTCAACCCCCTCTACATCCTCCCTGGTGCTCCTCTCCTGGATGAGCCTGTCGATCTCCACCAGCGACTCTGGGGTGAATCTGTGGAAGACGTTGTTGCCTGTGGGAGGGAGCAGGCTTGCCATCTTGGCATCGCGAAGAGATACCACCTCAACGGGGAATCTCTACACCAAGCTCCTGAAAGAGAGGAAAAATATTTTTGAATTATGGCAAATGTCACTATGGACTTCATATATGAAAATCATTTATGAATATGTAATCATACATATGCAGCGCAGTTTTAGGGAAAACTATCAAAATTAAAAGAAAACCTTTCTCTATTGCAAAACTTACTTACATTTTTTTGTTGTGAATATATTGCAAGAGATGCAAAGAATGAGAGCTGCTCTCCCAAAGCAAATTATTCAGAGTCAAGCATCTTTAAGATGTATTTGTAGGCAGCGGCTATTTGCACTAAGTGTAAATAGCGATAGAGGATATTTACACTAAGTAAAATAGCATATTTTCTCAGTGATAGATGCTATTTACGCTATGTGCAAATAGCGATGGATTCTATTTACACTAAGTGACAATAGCATTTTTTAGTGATGCTATTTACACTAAGTGCAAATAGCTATAGATTCTATTTACACTGTTAAAATAGCAGGATTTTCTGCTATTTATACTACTTATTGCAAATAGTGGCAGTTATCTGCACCTCATATTGTAGTACATTATAAAACAGTATGCAATAATAACGTATTGAGTGTAAATTATAATTTTAATTCAATTTATTTTAGTTTTTAGATTATTATTTTAGATTATTTCCTTCATTTTTATTGAAATTAAATGCCTTACCCATGTGATATGAGATTTGAAAAGGGAGAAAAAAAGTTCAGCAAAAGGCGGGTTCGAACCCTGGTCGATCGCATTCAAATGAATATGGCACATGATTTACCATCTACGCCACTAGAACTGATGTATGACCATTTTTTGTAGTGTTGACCACCCCAATCACACTTTGGTGGGTGGTGTTAGTGTA